ATATTTTTTAAAATTCTCATGTTATTTTTAATACTCTTCATTTAAAAGTATATGCTGATTTGTTTCTAGGTATTTGGGTATATTTCATAAATATTACTGCTGTTGATTTTTAACTAAATTCTGTATTTATCAGGAAATATACTTTTTAATGGTTTCAATGTATTTAACTTTATTGAGTCTTAAATTGTAGTATGTGTATTTCACTATTATTGTATGGAGAAATCCCTAATATTAAATAGATCAACTCCCTTGATAGTATTGTTAAAGTCTTCTATATTTTTTTGTAATGATTCTTCTCCAACTTTATTTTTAAATGTGTCTATTTTTATATTAAGTTCTCTCTGTTTTGCTTCATATTTTTTGAAGCTCTAGTATTATGTGTTTAAATATTTATTCATGTAGATCAGTACTATGAAAATTATTATTTAAGGGCTTTGTTTAAGGATGGAAAAAATGATACCATATAGAACTTTGTTTCACTCTTCTGTTTTTCATTTTGCTGTGTCTTCAAGTTAACTAAGTTACGTCACTGTATCTTCAAGTTTACCAATATTTTCTACTGTAATGTCTAATGTTTTTAATCCCATCAGAGTATTTCTCATCATTTTATTTGTCTTCTCTGAGAATTTCAAAGAGATGTTTTGTATGTCCTCCATGCCTCTCTTACCATTCTCATGTTTTACTTCCTTGAAAATATTGGAATATATTTCTAATAGTTGTTTTAATAGGCATCTACTCACTTACCCTCTGTATCATATCTACATTTTGTAATTGATTGATTTTTCTCCTCCTCTTTTTCTTTATTTTTTAGAGACAGGTTCTCACTCTGCCACCCAGGCAGGAGTGCAGTGGCACTCATTGCAACCTCCAACTCTCGGGCTCAAGTGATCTTCCTGATTCAGCATCCCCAGTAGCTGGAACTATAGACATGTGCCACAATGCCCAGTTAATTTTTTATTACTATTTAGAGAAGTGGTTTCAGTATGTTGCCAGGGTTGATCTTCAAATCCTGGCTTCAAGAAATCCTCCTGCCTCGGCCTCCCAAAGTGCTGGGCATACAGGCGTGAGTCACTGTACCTGGTGATTTTTCTCTTTCGTCTGGGTCATAGGTCATATTTTCATGTTTATTTACTATCCTGGTAATTTTTTTTTTTTTTTTTTTTTTTTGAGACAGAATCTTGGTCCGTCACCCAGGCTGAAGTGCAGTGGTGTGATCTTGGCCCACTGCAACCTTCACCTCCCTGGTTCATGCGATTCTCCTGCCTCAGCCTTCAAGTAGCTGGGAATACAGGCACGTGCCACCACATGGCTAATTTTTGTATTTTTCTTAAAGATGGAGTTTTGCTATGTTGGCCAGGCTAGTCTTGAACTCCTGACCTCAGGTGATCTGCCCGCCTTGGCATCCCAAAGTGCTGGGATTGCAGGTGTTAGCCACCACGTCTGGCTGTTTCTTGTTGTCCAGGCTGGAGTGCAGTGGTGTGATCTTGGCTCACTGCAACCTCCACCTCCCAGATTCAAGTGATTCTCCTGCCTCAGCCTCCCAAGTAGCTGGTACTACAGGCACCCGCCACCATGCCCAGCTAATTATTTTGTACCTTTTGTAGAAACGGGGTTTCACTATATTGGCCAAGCTGGTCTGTATCTCCTGACCTTGTGATCTGCCCACCTTGGCCTCCCAAAGGAGGCATGAGCCACCATGCCCAGCCAGGAATTTTTAATTGGGTTCCAGACTTTCAGAATTTTGTGTTTTGGGGTGCTGAATATTTTTGTATTATTTTACTTTGTTTTATAGATGTAGTTAAGTGACTTGGAAAAAGTTTTATTTGAGGGAGAACTTCCATTTAGACTCTTTTAGGTGGATCCAAACCACCTTCAGTCTAGGGTTAATCTGGTTCCATTACTGATGCAATATTATTCTAAGGACATGATTCAAGTCCTGCGTTTTAGGATATCTTTTTACTCTGGGTGGTTGAGTTGCAGATTATTCCCGGTGCTATGTGAGTTTCTGGGATTATCGTACTTTATATTTTCTAATGGTTCTTTCCCTCATCTGAGAAAGCCTTACTAGTATACACTCATTGATTAATACTCAGTTAAAGATTTGTTGGGAACCCTCTGCAGATACCTATAGCTCTGTTGCCTGTGCAACTCTCTTCTCTCACATTATCTGACCCGCACCTTCTAGTGGCTTTGACCTTCCCCAACTGCACACTCTGTCTTCCAACCCAGATACACTGCCTGACTCTGTTCGTGTTCTCTCCCTCCCCCGGCTGCAGCCTGTAAACTCTCTGCAGGCAGTCAGCGATGGAGGTACTCACAGGCCACTGTCATATGCAATCAGTTGGCTAATGTTTGAAAACTATTGTTTTATATGTATAGCCAGTGTTTTTGTTGTTTAAATTGCGGGCGGATAGTTCCTGTTACTATAATATTGTTCAAAATGAAATTGTCATTCAATTCTTTACTGTTTACATTAATTCTGTGTTCCTGACCCCTATATTCTTGTACCTGAAAAATGGGGCACTTAGAGAAGTGGTTTGAGTTTGAAAGAATGGGCTCCATGCGTGTATCAGAATCCCTTGGAGTGATTTTTAGACATTAACATTTCACAGACAGGGACTGTGAATAGCAATAGGAGCATATTCTGTCCGACTTTACTGGGAGGGAGTAATAAGGTATTTATTGGGAGGGAGTAATAAGGTATTAGTAATATTCCCTTATTTATGGTGGCTTAATCATATTTCCTATTGAGCATTTAAAGTGAATGTAATTTGTACACACTTATGTTCTCTAAATATGTTAAGTTTTCCCCCTCTATTTCAAAGGCCAAATCAAGGATTTTTATTTTCTCATGAAAATTCCCAGAGTAGTACAACCATCTTTCTTGTCATATCTCCGGTTATAACAGATCACCTCCCTCTCAAAAAAGTTGTAAGTCCACTAATGGAATCTGCATTAGCCTCTATTAATGCCAGCCAGATTATGGATTCCTCATGATGGGTGGCAACTAATTTGCTATACATCAAACATTTAGCACAATATTTTATATGAAGTAAGGAGATAACCCTCTTTATTAGAAAGAACACTGGAACTTAATTAACCTGCCGCTTTTATTAATGAGTGAGCCTGTCTTTTTATTTGTGAGTTGAGGAGCGGAGATATACATATACTGTAGTTCTCTGATTTTGAATGAGTAAGCAGAGGGAAAATGTATATTATTTATAATTGTGAGTGCTGAAACCTCTACCGTGCTATGATTATTATTATTATTATTAGGAAACGAATGAATAATTTTCATTGAAGATATTGAGAAATATATCACTAATTATGATAAAAACCCTATCTACATATTAAATTCTAGACGAAAACTCTGAAATGTCATTTTTATACCTGTTGTAAAGATTGCATTAGTAATAATATCAAAAATATATATAAAAGATACTATATATGCATTTATTATTATTATTATTTCTTTTTTCGGGCAGTCTCACTCTGTAGCCCAGGCTGGAGTGCAGTGGTGTGATCTCAGCTCACTATAGCCTGCCTCAGCATCCCTCCCAAGTAGCTGGGATTACAGGCGCCTGCTACCACGCCTGACTAATCTTTGTATTTATAGTAGAGACAGAGTTTCACCATGTTGGTCAGGCTGGTCTCGAACTCCTGACCTCAAGTGATCCACCCGCCTCTGCCTCCCAGGGTGCTGGGATTACAGGCATGGGCCACCGCACCCCGACCTATTTGTTATTATTTTATGAATCCTAACTTTGCAGTCTTCTACTCCTCTTAAGAAATGTTATGTACTTCATGGTGCATTTAGAGATGTTGTGAGAAACTGGAAAACAAATTCTATTGAGCATAGACATATGAAGATTATGTTCATATATGTATTAGTGATTTCTGGAAAGTAGAACCAGAATTCACTGGAAGGAACTGTGTAGTGTATCAGAGAAATGTTTGATTTTATTTTAGGAAATAGCTTTAATAATATTTATAGAGATTTGTTTTTTAATTTAAACTTGTATGGACAAGCAAATCTCTCCACCCCAATGGACAAATTCCAAAACTTTTCATTAGTGGTTTTAAAATCAATTCAGTCATCCAAAATACTATTATAAGAAAAATACAGGAGGGGATGCAAAGAAGAGAAAAGAGGAAAAAAGATGTATAAAATGAAAGTGAGGAGAATGCACAATATAAAATGATTTCAGAAATACTGAGGGAAATCATAGAAATATTTCAGATTTTAATATATTGAAAATATTTCTTACTGTAGAATATAGTAAAAATGTTTGAAAGCCATGGTTTTAAAGGACAACATAGACTAGAATTGAACAGAATGAGATGTATTTCAGTAGAGAAAAAAATCTTAAAATATTGATAATTATTGGTGACTAAGAGGAAACAGAAAAACTATTTTCCTCATTGAAGAATAAAATTATCATATACAAAATAGTTTCTAAATTAATTGTGTTTTCATATAATTCTCCAATCTTACTATTTTATTGTCAGTACTTACATGCAATATACATTTATGATGTGTTTACATTGTATTTACTTTGAAGCTTCTTTGAAGAAATTTTCTATGTAAATTATTTTAAATGTGTCCCAGGAAGGGAGTAAATAAATATATATAATAAGTATATATTGTCTCACCAACATTTAATTGTGTATGGTGTTAAAGACAGCAAACAAATTTTTTTTTTTTTTGCTAATTAAGTACAAATTGAACTGATAGACTTTTTGCCTGGTAACTGTAGAGATTTTGACATAGCTCAAATGTTATTCTTGTGTCTATATTCAAAAACAATTTCAAGTATAATTTTATTGTGTATTCATTAGGTTCTGAGGCTACTAAAAATATACTTTTGATTGGAATATAGCCCTGTCTTTCAATGATGATAACCATGTAGTCATCAATGCCTATAGATAAAAAAGTTGATTATAATCTCCTATATTATAAAGTCAGATTTGTGAGGGTGAACCTCTTTTTTCTTCTTTAGGAATGGCAAGCTCATTGAAGAAAATGAAAAGTACATATTGAAAGGGAGCAATACAGAACTGACTGTCAGGAACATAGTCAATAGTGATGGTGGTCCTTATGTCTGCAGAGCCACAAATAAGGCAGGAAAAGATGAAAAGCAAGCTTTCCTCCAGGTCTTTGGTAAGTATTATAGCATAGCGGTTAAACCTGTTGTGTCTAGTGGAAGATCAGAGTCAAATTCTACTCTCATCATTTGAACTATTTAAACTTTCTGTATTAAACCCATTTCATCTTCTCTGTAATACGTTTTACATTTTAGCTACCAGATAGAATTATCTGAAGAATAACATAAAATTACACATGCAAATTTTTGATACGCTTATAATGGAAGCTGGAAAAAATTCATTTAAATTACACCTAGTGAGGTTTGTCATCCATATCTGTAAGCCTGGATCTTTGTAAGTCTCTAAATGACACATGTTAGGATCAGTTTTACTTACTATATATTTCAAAAGGGCACATTTATAAGGCTACAGTTTAAAAACATTGACTTGTAACTGTACTTAAATATTCTCTTTCATTTAACTAAATGAAAATATAAGATAAATATCTTCCGTATTTACCAAGAGCCATATTATCTTCTTTGGGTAACTTATACAGCATAGAAAACTAGTACTTTACCAACATACATTGATGTAGCTTCAATTATGTTGACAAGAAGAAAGACAATGTTGGCAGTGGGTGTTTCTAATAGAATTTTTCCCTTTCAATAGTGTAACACTAAAAACTATATGCCCTCTTAATATTTAATATGTTTTCTCCAACTTTAAAAACATTGTTATTGAAGTGCTTTCACAACAAAAATAAGGAAAAGGAAGGAAGGAGAAATCTGAGAGTAAGAAGGACCAGTGTTTGCAGTTGACAGGTGCAGAGGTGCCCCTTGCACTGACCATGAGATGAATGGTAACCCCTGCATGGGCGTGCGCTCTGCGGACTAGCCTATAGTCACTGCTGGAAACATTTTCTGAACTAGAGAGATATTTATAAAGCTTATATTCGAGTGGAGTGGCACGGAGAATAAACAGCTATACCAAAATGTATTAAAATAAAAAATACAATTTTAAAAGTAGAGATGTTTTGAGAGTGAAACTGGATAAATCAGGTAGCATTGGATAAAGAGAAGTATTGTTTTGGATAGCATGGTGTTGGAAAGTTATTCTGAAGGATAATGTTTAGGTGATGTTTACACAAAAGTCTAATGATCAGAAGTAGGCCAAGCTAAGTCTAGAGAAGATTGTTCACTTAGAGGGAAGAGTAAATATACTTAACATTTTTAGAAATTGTTGAAAGTCCCTACCTTGTTCTAGCAGTGTTCCTCACTTGAAAATATTTTTTTTTCTATAAAACCTACAAAATTGAATAAGTATGACTCAATATAAAAATAATCGTATTAGAAATTGTATTGTGTGAGATTATTCCCAAGGGTAGACGGTCTTAATCTGCCTCAGTGTACTCATCTGAAATAGTAGTTACATCCTTTTTATCAGGATTGGAATGGGAAAGAAAAAAGAGATTTTTTTACATTTCTGATATTTTCATCCTTTCCAGTAGAAAATAATACATGAAAATTTTACATGTTATGTTATTGTTGTAGTCACTTTTGTGTAGTAACATTCAACAAACTTTTGTTGCTCTTGACACAAAATTGTATGCGTATTGTGGGAATATAACTAAATCTATTAAAGTGAATGAAATAGTGAATTGTTAAAAATTCTGTATGCTGTTTTTCTGATACCAAGAATGTTATTTTCTGAGCTTAAGAACAACTTATTTGTGTTTCTTGGTTAAATGTGTTAAAAGATGTTAAAAGTAACTCACACTGAAATAACGAGTACTCGATTGTGTCCATTTTATATCTAAACAAGCAAAAATTTAGGAAATGCAGAAAACACAGATTTCAAAAAATGAAGCTCTCTGGAACTATTTAAGTTTATGGAGGGACATATTTCAATATTGAGATAATTAAAATTAGTAGACATAATGCTTTTCTTTTTATACAATTTATGATTAAAATTTAGTTCCGTTATCTAATATATTATTAAGTAAACTGAAGTCCAAATAAATCAAGTGGAATAATATATATAAGTAACATGTAAATATATTTACTTAGTAAATGTTTCAAAATTTTATATGATTCTACTTGCTATATTTTCAGGATATATCATCATTTACTTCTTTGGTGAAATTGTTAAAGGTTAAGAGAGAATTAAAACAATTGTGTGTGCATGTGTCTGTATAAATATATTCATGTGTATGTATGTGTGTATATACATATATGTGCACACATATGCACCCATATACATGTGCCTTTAAAAGAAGAAATTTTGATTTTGTGGCTTTAAGATAGGAAAATAAATATAGAAATGGCTTTTAAATTGGCAAAATTTTGAAACAAATTATAATTTGGATGTTGGTTTCTAAGCCACCTCAAGTTATTTTGCATAATGATAACAAATGAATATTATTTCCTAAATGTTTTTTCCTATCCTATTCAACTGTCCTGGCACAACTGTAAAGCAAAGCAGGTCACTGTAATTCTGCAGAGCTAATAATATCATACTATACTAAAGTAGACTTAAATACCCATCATGACTTTTGTCTGAGAAGTAATGTTTTCCTCCAATACCGATTGAGTAATGTATATATTCTTTACAGTACAGCCTCACATAATACAGCTTAAAAATGAAACTACATTTGAGAATGGTCAAGTCACACTCATATGTGATGCAGAAGGGGAGCCTATTCCAGAAATCACTTGGAAGAGAGCTGTGGATGGCTTCACGTTCACTGAAGGCGACAAGGTAACCACATCTCAATATGTAATGTTTCCATTACCATAGAATTTCAGTATTTTCAATATCATTAAATCTCAAATTAGTCTTCAACGTACCTAGTAACTTGTAGGATCAAATAAATGGTTTAATTTTTAAAAAGGTAGCTAACACAATGTCAGCCTTACAACTTTGGCTGGGGGAGGAATGTCAGTGTAAAATGTTTAAAGACGTTCTTTATTAAGTCACAAACATTTAGGCTATTGGTATTATTAACGTTGCTTAACTAGACTTTTGTTATACATTGAATCTATAATATATGTTATTGCAATTTTAACCCCTGCTGTATAAATATCTGGCCTTTACAAATTCACTGACCATGAGAAAAGTGCTAGGACAAGTAATATTGCCATTTTAATAACAGGAATAAAGATTTACAAACCAGTACATTCGACTTTAAACCTCAGCAGTTTCAGTTTATTAAAGAAATGATTGTATATTTAGAAAATACTGTGGTGAGTGATGAGCATTGGAAGAGATTTGCGAAGAAGATTTACTTCAAATTAATTTAATGTGTGTTTTGCTTAGAAAGGTGTCAACAAACTACAGTCCATAGGGCAAATTTGGCCTCTGGCCTGTTTTGGTAAATAAAGTTTTGTTGAAACTAAAGCAAAAAGTAATTTAAATTCAAAGAAGTCTGGCTGTCATTCAATGCTTTACCCTTTAGAATTGTCTTTCTGCAGTAGAAGTGTAGGTTCTGCTTTCGTATAATTTAGAATCTAATGTAAAGAAATAAGTACAAAGAAATTACATCATTGTCATGACCTTTAACCAGAATGCATTCAACTTGCTTAGAAATTAATGAAACATTACTATATGTTTCACTATACTTCATGGATTTTAATTACTATTCTCTTTCACAACTATTCATACAAACTTCAAATACAAACAAAAAAGAAAGGAAAAGATGGTGAAATATTGAAATGATAGAACTGGCAATTTCACATAAGTGAAGATTATAAAATTAGGGTATTACATTGCTTTTCTCTACTCAATGTTAAAGGGAAACCTCCTTTAAACTTTTTTCATTATTAACTTTATTTAGGTAAAGAGTCCGATTTCTAAAGTATTCATACACCTCAATATGACTTTGATTTATTAATATTAATAGTAAAAAAAAAAGAAATAGAAATGTTTGTCCATAGTACACTTTACGTCAGTCCGTCCCATCATGTTATATTTAACAACTGGCTAAACCCATACATTCACCAAAAAAGTAATCTCTCTGGTCAATTTATTACGTTCCTTTTGAAAGACTGTGTTATCATATAGATTACCCTTTTTTGTCTCATTTTCTCCTCGTAATGGCATTTTAAGAGATTATGTCTATTTGATAATTGTACTGTTTTGACATACTTATTTTATATATTCAAGTTGAAAATCAAATTTATAAAATGTGAATGACAGTCATAATCTTCTGCAACCCAGATAAGTTATAGTTTGTTTTAATATATTCTTAAGAGAAAATCAGGTATGTTACTATGACACAGTTGCCACATCTGAAAAGAATTAAATTTCTGTGAAATTAAAAAAATACAATCAGATATCTGAAACCATAGAGGACTGTTTTTATGTTTCAGTTTTGCACATTTATTTAGATTAGATCACTCAAATGTATTTACTTTCATGCCCTTAGACTGTATTTATCATACCTCCATATTTCTAATGCTGTTTTCTAATTATTTTTCAGCTTACTTTAAAATTCTTAAAAGTTATCTTCTCAAAGATAGTTTTTACTCTTCATTTAATGAATGCTACCTTACATATTATGCAGAGAATGAAAGATAAATTATACTCAGTTATTTTATTAATAAAATGTCAACAAGTAACAAGAAAGCGGTTATATTTTATTCTTGGCTCTATGCCCCAGGCCACCCCAAACTACACATACATATCTATTCTGTAGTAACTGTGAAAAATAATCTTAAAGCTTTTGTTTCCTAAGGAGTATATTAAAAAACACCTCTTGTTTTAAGAAAATCTGACTTGGTTTCTTTGCAAAAAAAATTATAGAATCTCAAATATGCTTTTCTGCACAAGTTTAATCCAGTCAATAAAGAAATTAAGTCTATTGTATTTCTATTATATTTCTCCAAATATATTTTAAGATCCTCTACTTATTTCTATCTTCCTGTAAGCTTCTTTTCCCCTAATATTTCCTGTTTCTTGAATAGCATAATTCACAAATCAAGTGGTTGAGCTAAACTTTGAAGTAAACTAAATCTAGTTTTGAATCCCAACTCTGTCATTTATGATGCCTCAGCATGATAAAATTGAGTTCAAAGTGTCCAAATAACATTGTCAGTGTTGTTTGAACTCTTTTTAATATGAATTTTTAATATGATTTTTTTGATCTTTAAAATGTTGATAATATTTATCCTCTTGTTATAAGGAAGATGAGTACATTACAAATGCATATCAGTATTTACCATATTATAAATATCCAATAAACTTTAGTTTTTACTTTGTCATATTACAAATTTACAGTACAAATTTACAAATTTTACTTTGTCACATTACAAATTTACAGTACGGCCTCATATAATACAGATTAAAAGTGAAACTACATATGACAATGGTCAAGTCACACCTGAAGCATAGTTTATCTTGTTGCCTCCATAAAGTATAACACCTAAGGTTTGATTAAATTTAATGAGATCATATTATTCCTATCATGGAAAGTAGCATGGGATTGTACTTTCCATAAGAATCACTTGGGAAGACTATTAAAGTGCAGATTCTAGATTCCCACTTCTTAAAGTTGATTTGGTATGTGTAGCCCAGGGTATAGGAATGCATATTAAATCAACTCATTAGTTGGTGTCATACTGTTAGTCTTCAGGCCATATTTTGGGAAACAACTTCAAGTAAGGATGAAATTTAACAGCTAATATTTCCAACAGAAAAATGATCTTAACCAATTAGTTGACACCTGATAGGGACTTGGGAAGTATAAAACTAAACTAAACTAAACTAAATTTCCATGATGCGTGTATCAGTCAAGTTTTGATGAAACTGAAATATATAGGTCAAAAATAGTGAAATATCATCAATGTCATGTAGTAAAAACTAATAATTTCATCCAACAACATGGCATTGTATTTAGCAAATATGTTCATTCTTTTAGATTTTTCAAAGAGGGAGGGTCTCAAATAACAATATTCTTTTTTTTTTTTTTTTTGTCTAACTTCTAAATCACCGGTTAAGACAAAAAAATAATGGGGATAAAATACCATGTGACTTAAATGTATGGATAAGTGAATCCTCTTATACTGAGCTCAAGAATTAGATAAACATACTCAACACAGTCCCAAGTAGCATGAGACTTACAGCCCTCCCCTGTGTGAGAAGACATGCTAAGATAACCTTGACCAAGGGGGACAATGGTGAACTCATGGTCTCTTTGGGACGGTCCTTTCTGAAAAGAAAAAAAGGAGTAGTTAGGAAGTGTATTTAATTTTTTTGTGTCTCCATAGTTATCAATCAGATATCTCTTAACTTCCCATGGGAGAAATAAGGAAGGGACTTGAAAAGTCCAACTGTGGTATGTTAGAAGACCTTCCTCCCCATGGAATAAATGATTAAGAGTTCATGAATAGCATTCACTGCCCAACTAACAATGTGCTAATAACCTTTAAATCACCATATACATAACTATCTCGATTTATCCTCTAGTATTAGTACTGCATAGTAAATGACCCGATAATATAATGGCACAAACCAGTAATTTTCTCTCACTTCTGATTTTGTGCATCAGAAGTTTGAGTAAGGCTTAACCAAATGGTTATCACTTGGAATCTCTAATGTGCTTGTATCAGATGTTGCTACTAGTGTTGCTTGCAGTTGTAGTTATGAGAAGGTTCAACTTTGCTGAGAAGCCAACATGGCTCACCTAAGTGGCTAGCATTCAGTCTTGACTGTGGGCTGCAAGCTCAGGTGGAGCTGTTTTTGGAACACCTATATGAAGCCTCTCCGGTGTGGCTTAGAGCAGTCTGCTCTCTCTTGTGGCAGCAGGCTTTCTCCATAGAGAACATTTCAAAAGAATCAGGCCAGACAGACACTACCTGGTCTACTCTGACGTAGTCTTGGAAGTCACACATTGTCACTTCTGCCACAGTATATTGGTTACAAACAAATTATAAGGTCCCCAAATCCAACAGGAGAGGAATTAGGCACTCCTCTTGATGGGGAAGGATTCACAGTCATATTATAGATGAGTATGTGGAGTAGGAGATATTGTTAAGGTCATCTTTGAAAATACATCTACAATTTATCTCAAAATATTCCCATGACTTAAGTCCAAGCATTTTCCCAGGCTTGTAGATGAGGAAACTGAGGCTCAGGAAAATTCAGGGATTTTCACAAGGTCACACAGGGAGTAAGTGGCAGTGCCAGGATTTGAACAGTGGTCTCTCACTCTGCATAGTGCATGCCCATGCAAGGGCTTCAGAATTCTACTAAAGTGTATGGCTGGCACTCTCATATGAATTTAAATGATATTTCTGTTTAATCAAATATAATTGAAAAGTCAGAAGAAACTTTGTTTTTAAACTTATTTATAATCTGATATTACCTATTTTAAACTACTTATAATGTTCAGTAAACACCGAAACTACTTACTGGTTTTTATTAAAATAGGTATATGTAAAAAATTACTTCATATAATGGGTGCTACCAAAATGTTTGAAAGCCCATGCCGTATAAAACAATCTAGAGGTGTGGGAGGGGGAGCAAAATGGCAGAATAGAAGGCTCCACCGATCTTCTCCCCAACCCTCAAAGGACACCAAGTTAACAACCATCTATACACACACACACACAAACACATACACACACGCACGCACGCACACACACACACACAATACCTTCATGAGAACCAAAAATCAGGTGAACACTCATAGTACTTGGTTTTAACTTCATATTGCTGAAAGAGTCACTGAAGAGATAGAAAAAAACAGTCCTGAATCAACA